AGGGTGGGGTTGTTAGCCTCACACCTCCCTTTCCTTCTTCACCTGGCTTAGTACTGACTGAGCGAGGTTTAGAAGTACATTTGCCCGAAATAGAACCCGAGCCAAGTGGGTCGTTGGTAATTATTCTACTACTGAACCAACTACTCGTCTAGTCTCATGCAGAGAAGTATAAATTCTCACCAGGATAATATGATGTCATTCTTTTATTTTAATAGTTAGCATGTAAATAAACTTCTATAACGGCTTAAAATTACAAGAGTTTTGGAGTGCTCATTTCTTTTTTAACTTCTGGTCATCAACTGGGTATGCCGTGAACCTGCTGTAGTCACTATCCGCTAACTAAAATACTAACTGAATCCATTAATCTTTACAGAAATATTATTGAAATGGTTAGAAAACTTATGTTTGTTTTAGAAAATATTTGCGCAATTTCAGTGGGACACAACATATTTTGCATTCACTGGTCAGTAGGAAGTGATGAGTATCATGTGTTGACACTGACTGGATATTGTCAGCTAACTTCATAATTTTATTCCCAAACTAGATGTCTGGCAGTCATGGTGCATTTTGAATTGATGTGATGTGATAAGGGACAATCAGTAGGCAACCATGATCTGACTTTTCTTCATCAAATAATTCCACGGTAATGTCTTCGACTGTAGTGCTGAAGGATGTGGGTTTGAATTTCCAAAAGAATATCAGTTCCTTCGAAATTCTAAATACATATTCTTAACGAGTGCCAAGGTTTAACGATTCCTACCGATTGGCTTCGACCACTCATCAGTATTATTATTGTTTCCTTTAATTACTAGAGGAACACAGGGCTTCAGCTGCGCATCTCCATTGCCTTCTGTTTTCCGACAACTTTTTCACCCCGCTCCAAGTCTGCCCACATGCTTTCATCTCCTCCTCACATGACCTCCTCCAAGTCACCCCATCCTCGCACTGACGACCAACTCGCCGCCCGCTTCTCTTTCGGATTCCACTCGAGCAATGGCTTATCTAGTGATGTCACTTGATGGTTTCCTCAGTATATGGCCAATCCATCTCCATTTCTTCCTGCCTATTTGTTTCGCAATCGGTTCCTGGTTGGTTCGCTCATTGCCAGAGATTCCTTTGGCTGATCTTTTCTGGCCATCTGACCTTGAGTATTGAGCGAAGACAACTGTTAATGAAGGTCTGTAGTTTGTTCGAGGTGCCCTTTGTGATGCGGCTCGGCGCCAAGTCTCTCATCCGCATAGCAAGTAGCACTGAATTCCCACTGAAGTTGAAAATCCGGTTCTTGTTTTCATTTTCATGCTAACTGCTGTTGATCCTCACACAGACTTCAGAGTAATGAAAGTTTGCCTTGCTTTCACGATCCTCGCTACTGTGATATCCTCATCAGTTCCGTCCACCTGTAGTTGAAATGATGCTTTTCAGGAAAAAGGGTAGGTGAAGGAGGTTGCTTCTTACAGATTTCTCCCATTTATGCTGATTGTTGTCTATTGTTGTTGTTGTTGCTGTTGTCCAGGAATCTTCATCACCTCTGTTTTCTCTATGTTCACCTGAAGTTCCATCTTCTCTAGATGCTTCATCTGCGAACTTGTTGCTTTTCGCTTTCATGTCTTTATGGGAAATCAGACATATATCATCGGCGAAGTCAAGATCCTCCAAGTTATTTTCGTATAATAGAGGTTATTATAGTAGTAAATATTGTCTCCATTATCATGGGGATACTAGTGATAAGAGGGAAATGTAACTAGCTAATAATCTATTCAAATGAGACATTCAAGATATTTGCGTAAGTTTTAATACCAGCATTTGGTAAAGGTAACTGTTATTGAGAAAGTATTTGTCGGATTTAAGCCGAAAACTAAACACTTCATTCGTTACATTGACAATAATCTGAAATGCGTCATTATACTTATACTCATTCACTTCATTTATTATCCATTTACCGAATTTTCTAGGTCGTCCTCTTCATTTTTTAACATTACTGATTACATCCCCTTTCAGAGAAAACCTGACAGTATACACACTACTGATTAATGTGATTAGCTGAAAACTACTCATATTAACCAGTAGTATTAGCTAACTAATCGATATTATTTTAGAAAATCAATCATAATCAAGAGATATTTATTGGTGGTGCTCAACTAACAACCTTGGATGATAAATTTTATGACGATTGTATCTTATGGTGAGTATGTTACCACTTAACTTTTAAATTAGGATCTTACAACTTCCGACCATCCAATGTAAGCGATCACATTGCTTAAGTGACCTAACCTTACAGATCATGATTTTGAATTAACATTATGAAAAATCATGCTGTAAGGTAATCATTAAGCCAAACTATTAATGAATGGATATTATACTTATTGTGAAAGTATTTGAAGAATTTATCATGATAAATATATGCTGAACTTGAAAGCTGTGTTATTGTAACAGATCATCTGAGCCGACGAATCTACTCAGAGACAAACTTCGTTGACTCAAGAAGCCGATAGATCCATTTAGCAGGAGAAATCATCTAATTTATCAAATACTACGTAATAGTAGTGAGGTCGATCGCATAAGCCAGACTAGTAGGTCGGAGTCAGTTAGACTATCGGGACACAGAAATTTAGCTACAGCTACAATAAGTGACCATGTTAAGTTAAATAATTTAGAAAACACTCTGCCATAGCAAGTACATTCACTTGTATGCAATCACACAATCAGCTGAGACAAGGTGAAAGTATTTAAAAGTTATACATCTAGCAGGAAAGAGAGAGAGAGGTTCATTACCGAATCTTTGTTCATCTAGTCAGCACCGAACGCGTGCAATCAAAATGACGCAACAGCTATGCAGGGCATACGGAAAACTAGAATGAGTTATAGGTGGGGATCGGGAGGAAAAATATATTACGCAAATTTTGGAGCCGTGTAAATACATTCGTATGACAGTGATCAATAAACTGTACTCAAAATACCATTCAGTTATTAATCCTGTACCACAGTGTGTTATATAAAATAAACTTATATGATTTGGAATTGTATTCTACCACAGGGTTCACATTCTGCACTTACATTATGACAAATCTGCAATCGAACAATATTTCAAAATAACAAAGTCACTGCAAACTTATGCCTAATCGGAAAAAATATATAATTTTTTTCCATAAACCAGTCAAGTAATGATTAATGATTTATTTCTTATTAGTGGGTGACTTTGGTGACACCTAAACTGGCAGCGTTACAAGCGAAAACTAACTAGTTGGCAGTAGAAGCAGCGAAAACAGTAATTCAAGTCAACTTAGACAAGACAGAAGTGATGCAAATACCTGCCGTCTAACAACAAGAAGCACCAATCACTGTCAAGATGAGAAATCTAAAGGAAGTCATCCCTTCCACTTATGTAGACGACGTGGTTTTAACTACAGACAGTCGGCATGGATGAGGATATCAAAATCAGGAAAAACCTTCATTAACCTGAAATTAGCGTATAAATCTACTGCATTCAGCATAAAGAACAAGATTCTAATTTTAAATACCAGTGACATATCAGAGAGTGCTTCTGTTTGTTTCAGAAGCTTGGTATTTAATCAAAAGCTTTCCCAACAGGCTGAAAACCTTTATCAGTTGCTGCCTTCGCTTGACACTGGAGATTAAATGGCCAGAAATGATTAGCAACAGAAGACCAACCAAGAATCTACTGCCCAACAAATATACACAGGAAAATGGAGATAGATTTGACACAGGCAGAGGCGACCGTAGAGGGAATTCGCTCACCACTCCGTCGAGTGGAACCCAAACCAATACTTGAATATCAATCTGATACTCACTAGTGACTGGCCATATTCAGGTAGATAGTTACCTGGATTCTAGTGAGAAGTCGTGACCACTAGGGTACAGCAGGTAGGGTGTGAGGACAAATACTCGCCGAAGGGATTGGTTAGTGTTTGCCCATGTCGTGAATTGCCAGAAGTTAGAATTCATGGACTGGCTAATGAATCGGGTCCCAGTGGCTTAATGGTCTACGAGCTAGCTCGCCTTGTAACCAGAAGGTGCTTGGTTCGAACCCTGGCGGCGGGTACCTACTGATGAAGAGTCGCAAACTAGGACGGAGGAAACAGGTGTCCAGTACTCCCAGGTTTTCCAATAATTCTGTATTCAATGTCAGCTAATGATGAAATCCTGTAACCAATCAATCAAATCCCTACAAACCAATAATTGGGGAACGATCATTTGAGCATATGTTCGAGGGTGACATGAAGAAGATTATGCCAGGAGGAAATAAAATCTTATGCATAATCAAGCATCCAACTAAAAGGAACTGCAGAGAACAGGATGAAATAGCGATGTGCTGTTGAAACCCTGTGTTTCACTCAGAACTCAAGGAATAACAATAGAAAATAATCGTAGTGAGTGACTTAGAAAAAAAAAGGGAATTCCCAAAATTAAAACAAAAGATTGTAATCCATGTAGAGAAGAAAACCGGAAGTGAAAAACAACTGCTTGCTGATAAAACTGATTCAACCTCTCCATCATATCATGTGAGCTAACATAAGACATGGGAAAGTAGAGAACTCTGGATTCCCAATCACAGAGTGGACAAACAGTATTGCTCTTAGCAAAAAATTGGATGTTTGTAGTTTTCAAGTGTGTTGGTTTACAGGGATTTGATTAGTTTTAGGATTTCATCATGAGCTTATTTCTGTTAAAGAACCATTGGAAAACTAGGGAGTACTGGAAAACTGTTTCGCCCTAGTCTGAGACTCTTCATCAGTGCACAACAACTGAGGTGTTCTAGTGAGAATTTGTAACCAATGGGGTCCACCAAGTTAGATAAGAAAACAAGTTTCTGTAAATGAAAGTTTTATACTGATTAATACGGATTACTCATTTTCTAGCGCTCTCTTTCACACCAGCGCCCCCCCCCCCAGATTATCATTAAACATAGAATTTTGTCATCCAAAACATAATATTTAACATTAACAATGAAAATCATAAGAATACTTTTAATGATGACTTACTTGTCTTTCTGTTAAGTGTAATTTACACGATATCTCCCATCGTTTTTGTCTCGTAATATATGCATTGCCCATAAATTCATTTTCTAAAACCATTGTCTGATAACGTGTATACGGTTTACGCTTTTTCCTTGAACGTACTTCTAGTTTTTAATTGAAGTAGTGGTTTGTCATGTTTGCATGTAGTTGTATGTATGTAGGTGGGTTTGTATGTACGTGTGCATGTGTGTGTGTGTGTGTGTGTGGATTCCCGTTGTAAACATCAGAGTTGAATAAACAATAAAAAGAAAAGAGAACAAAACAACACTTAAGCTGATTTTAAATAAACATTCTGTTGAAAATAAACAATTTTCCACGTCAACAACTGAAAAATTATCAGCAGAGGCAAAACATTTCGGTCCAATCAACTGAAACAAATAAAAACACAAACATGTTGCGCAAGAGGTGCCCCTTATGGTTCAAGTGGTCTAGTGGAAAACGTTTAGCGTTTGAAACGATGGGTAATGAGTTCGAGTCTTGGTGGAAACGCCATCCCTGACTGGGAAATGCAGGTACATCTGGCTGACGAGTATTTCCAAATAGGACGAAGTGCACACCTTCATTTTGCGGCTGGTCATTATCCACCAAATTACTTCATGTTATTCCTCTGGTATTGTCGAAGTGTCCGATTTAGGAGCCAGCATTTCAACTGGGCCTAAGCATTTCGACCAAGTCGGTTAAAGGGAAAAAATGAAATTGACTTAGACCTCAGAATCATAAATGCATATAGAGCAGTATATTAAGGTAAATTTCTCCACATGACGTCATTTACAAGTTTATTGCAAACTATTAAAAAATGAACAGTTGTTTCACTCTAGTTCGCCATATTGTAGCAGTTCACATTCAGAATCCAATCAGAGATTTAAATAAGAACTATTAGTATACGAAACGATCCAGCATACAATGAATTTGAAACTTCGTCATTTAGTATGTAATCTCATAGCTCACTAGATTCTGTCGCGTCTTCTTATTTGAACTAAAAGGAAGTTTATGTCGGAGTTAACACCAATGAGCAGCAGATTAAATGTTTAATTGTTAAGTATATGGTTACACCCACTCATATGACAACAATTCATTATTACAGGAAATTATATCAACTGTTTTAGCACTAGGAAAATGTACTCTTGTTAACACTCGATACTATGCGTGTCATGTATTACGTAGTTGTGTATCTCTGCAGTAGACTTGATCATAAAGGAGGGGGATCACTTTTGACATAGACAGTTTAAACATAAATAGTTAGTATTTAAATTGACACAATGAATTAACGAATAGCTGTTATCATGAAATCTATGCTGTCAGCCTTTGATATAGAAGAAAAATATACATTAGGAACAAATCTCTTCATTTAAAGACAATACATTTTCAGTGTTTGGTCTCTGGAGCGTCTAGTACTTGGCACTGACAATATCCTATCCACCACATTGGCATGGCTTGGACATGGTCCATAGGAAGTGACACGTGTCCGATGTCCGGGAGGACATCACTTCAGTCTTGGTGAAGAGTTCTGGTAGGTACAAAACCTAAGTTTCAGAAATCTTATCATCTACTTCCAATCAGGTAACATTAACTCCTAGTTCATTATGACAATAAGTCACCCAAGTTGATAGTCACATGACGGATTGACTGAGAAAATTCAGTCAGAGAGATTAAGGACTAAACACATAAAAACCACAGTGATGTAACAATCTAATCCGAAATCACTTTATTTTTATAAAGTTAACCTCGTTAACCTAGTTAGTGTCTCTCTAATCTACTCAAATTCACTAATTTTTCATCGTGTTACCTCTATAGCCTTCGCTATCCTTCCTATCACCTTTTGAAGTACATCTATTTGATGAATGGATATGGTTATCTTTTTGACATTCAAAGCTGTTTTAAGGTTTTTACGTATACCCGTTTATCATAACAACTAGTGGATTCACATTAACTGGTAGAAATTTAAACCTGGTTGTTTATGCACTAGTCCAGTTCTGCATAAACTGTATTACATAAAGATATTTGATATAGGACAAAGTGATGCATGCTTATTAATTGGATGACGCATATCTATCTCCCTATTCTATCTATACTGAATAAAGTTTTCTCAAACGATATTGAATTCTATTATAGTGATAGGGTTAATAGTTTAACCGTTAAGATTGAAACATACGAAGCATTAATTAATTGACTCTTGTAGGAATATAATATCCATTAGAAGCAAACAAAGCGTGAGTAAATATATCCTTTACAATTTTTATAGATGGGTTTTGTAGCTGAGTTTGTAGCACACTGAATTAGTGATTTGGAAGTTAGATAGTCAAGCTATTTCTCTTTACTATGGCTTTCTGTGCTCACACCGATGCGGGTTGCTGCTTTGTCATATTCTTCTCCTTACTATACTTATTCCCCTATATGAAATTGTACAAAGGAAGAACAACAGTGGTTTGTGCAGAATAATATGGTATCATCATTGTTTATTTCATTGCCTTTTTATCAGCTGCTTACAGCCTAAATAAACTATGAGATTTACGTGCAGAAAAGTTTTAAAATATTTGCAAATTTTACATGATGTCAGTTGACGGGAGGCTCCGGAATTAGTGAACAGTGTTCAGAAAATTGCGCTTATGCAGTTTTTACACAGGCAGTTCAAGTTTAAATCTGTAATTTTGCTTGTCTCTTGGTTTCTATGATTTGAGTTGGACTCAGTACATTGTTACCTAATTTATTAGTCACTCTGCATCACTTATGCATCTCTCGTCTTTATTACGTAACTCATTTACCATTCTATGCATACATTTATTTTGTTTAAAACTGAACTGCCTGTGTAAAAACTTTACCAGCTCAATTTTCTGAGCACTGTTCACTTATTGTGGAACTTTCTGTTAACTGATATCATGTAATATTTGCAAGCATGTTAAAGCTTTTCTGTACATAAACTTCATAATTAATTTGGACTGTGAGCAGATGATGAGAAGGCGACGAAATAAACAATGATGGTAGGATATTATTCTGCATAAACCACTGTTGTTCTTATACAATTGGTGGATGGTGGCTAGCAGTGGAATCCAGGATGCGCATTTCGTCCTATTTGGGACTCGTCATCTGGATGTACCTGCATTTCTCAGTGAGTGATGATGTTCCCACCGAGACTCGAACCCAGTGCCCATAGTTTCAAACCCCAAAGCGTTATCCACTAGACCACTTGGGCCACGAGAGCCACCTCTTGTGCCACTGTTGCTCTTGCTTTATTCAAATTCATCAAGGGGAATAAATGCATGAAGTTTCCAAATTACCTGCCTATAGAAATACATTAATCTGTAAAAACGATCAGTAAAAAAGGGCAATCAAATATTGTAATATACGATTTTAGTAGAAAATGAAGGAAAACAGAAATAATTCTACACAAATAACTAACAATATCCGAATATTTGCATCTCTAAAGTTATTATATTTATTTACCCATCTAATGTTGAACGTTTACTTTAAATGAGTGCAGTCTTTACTGAGAAGTAGTAATGTGACACTACATCTAGATTGATATTGAAGGAGCTATGAGTAAAAACAGTTCTAATGAGAAAATCTATCCAATATCTTATCGAAAATTATTAATAGATACAGTTGGATGAAATAACACCAAGCATTATCTCATAAATTTTTCCCTGGTATTAATTAACTATTAGTTACAATAATAAAGTATAGTATATATTGATAGTTTACGCTAAAACGACTGTTTAGAGGGTGAATTTTTGTTCACAGATTACTCAATCAGAATATGAGTCTACGCATACCAGTAAAGAATACCATCTAGATCTCCTGAACTTCCAATATGAATCTATGATCCATGGATGTAGATCAATTACAGCGACTTAGCAACAAAAATTAAAAGAATTAAGAAAATAATAACTATTCGACTGTGGCTTTTATTATTATTATTCCCTTAGGTTCTCAGTGGAGCATACGACTTCAGCAGTACATCTCTTCTTCATCTTGTACTCTGTGTGTACTATAGAGTGGGTTCCACGTTTTTCCATAAGATTTGATTCCCACACAGTCTCCTACATTTCACCCTTAGACGTCCAACTCGTCGTTCCCTATTAGGGTAGGAAAAATAGTGGCATGGTTAGAATTTAATCTGATGACTAATGGTTCAGTCTCACATAAATAATAGTTAGTATTCAATGATGAATACTACCAAGATAGTAGAGTTTCAGTACCACTCGATTTTCCCTAGTTCCTCTATTACTGCCATTATATGTGTTATGAAAAATAAAATCTTAATATCTGAGGTGTAATTAATATCCTAGTTAAATAATTGCAATCCATAAAATGCAGTCTTACATAAGCCATCCATAAACGTCATCTATTTTTTCTAGATTTTCTAGATGGCCTCATACATTTACCAGGATATCATTGTGCATAAATCTTTTTACGATTGATAAGGACTATTAGGAAATCGGATGAACTATCTGTCATTGACTGGCCAAAAAAAGATTTAATCTTCATTATGGAGCCAGTGTAGGAGGCTGTTGACAAATGTCAACAGCATACTGTTGGAAATCCTTTTCACGACACGCTGGCCGAGTTTTTGACCTGTTTAAAAGAACTAACTGACTGGCTTCACATTTGTGTTGAATAGAATCCGAATCTTGTTCTTTATTCTGGCTGAATAACAGCAGAATATTTTCAAATTGATTTCGGAGTGATGAAGGCGTAACCTACCTTTTCGATTCTGGCTAGCTGGCTACCTTCGACACCTTCATCCATTTCGAGTGCCTGCGATTGAAACCGTGCGTCCTATTCGGATAAGTGAAGGAAGAACTCTCTGTCAAATCTCTCCTGTTGATGGTGCTAGTTGTTGTTGTTGTTGTTATAGCTGTTGGTTGGTTATCTTCATCGTGTGTGTCTTATCTATGTTCACCTGGAGTCCAGTCTTCTCTGCCTGCCTGCCTGCCTGCCTCTTCAGCCAGTTTGTTGCTTTTCGCCAGTAAGTTCTTGAGTTTCATTCTACTACTACTACTACTACTAATTCTGAGTACAAATTAAAAATATGTAATATTCAGAGAATCCTAAATAATTTACCTTGGGGAATTCTTCGGTAGCAGGATCTATCGTAACTCTTATATTTCTCTCAAAATACTGTATAATTCCCTTAAAAATTCTGTGAAATTTTACTCTTGTAAAAATAAATTAGTAATTTATTACATTAATTCCAACAACTTCCCTCAATAGCTTGACTAGGAATTAGATTTTAAAATTTCAGTCTGTTTATATATATCAGTGTAGATTATGGCAAAAAACAAACGTCAGCTAGACAATCTCTGAAAATCAGGGAGCATTTGACAGCTTTTTCATCTTCGTTTGAGACTCCTGATCAGTGTGCAATCACAACACCACTAGGGATTGATCCTGAGACTTTCACAGTCCCAGGTAGAGCTCGCCTAGCTGATGAATTCTAACTTTATCCGTCGGAGAGGTGTCGACACGCACTACCAAACAAGAGCGAAACAGCTATGTAGTGCCCACTGTTTTTCAGTGATTCTATGACTGATTTTGGTTCTTAACAAAATCTTCATTGAAAATAATCAAAATACCTACAAAAAAAGCCATATATATATGGGTTTCATATTTAAAAGGGCAAAAGCCCCTGACTCCATTGTCTTACCTGCACTTGTTGACCGACATTCTGAAGGCAAGAATTCATCACAAGTGGCATTAATTCTGTCAGTGAGACTATTGGTATTAGTGTTATTATTACTGTTATTATGCATATGTAAAGTATTACAGTTGCTATTATTACTACTATTAGTAGTAGTATTGTTACTAGGGATAGTAATATTACCATTGAATGAATATGGAAAATTAGATAAGTGTAAATTTGTATTTTGCATTGGTGGTAGGAGTGTTTTCAGTTGTTGTTGTTGCTGTTGCTGTGAGGGTGGGAGTGCTGGTGGTGGTGGTCCAGGTAGTCCTGGTGGCAATGCACCACTCATTTGATGCCTTTGTGCCTGATTCAGATGGTTCTGTTGTGGCTGATTATGATGATAAGGATGTTGAAGGTAGGTATTATTGATTGCATTTTTAATATTTATATTCTCATACATCATAGATAAGGGATTAGAGAATGTTGATAAGGTTTCGATTGGTCGTTGTTGCTGTTGTTGTTGTTGTTCTGATTGAATTACTGATGTACCTCCAATTTTATTAGTTGTATGACTAGAAGTAATATGCGTAGAATAAGTAACATTAGTTGTTGTACATATTGACTGTAATGGAAGTTGTTCTAAATGTGATTGAACTGAGAATTTAGAGTTTTCTATGCCTGTCAGAGAATGAGGATTTTGTAAATGAAATACATTATTATTATTATTACTAGTATTATTACTAATACTGTTCCCATAACTTAATACTGATGATGCCGCTACTGATGTTGATTCCTGCGTCAAAGATGTTTTATTGACTGTAAATGAAGCATTCAAAGGTGTTGAAGCCTCAGAATAATTCAGACAGACACTAGGATTTGATGTAATCACTCCAACTTCACCATTGTTTCCTCCACTTATCCCTGTTGTTACAGTTGACGTTGTTGACACTGGAATACTCATCAGTCTATGAGTATACACGTCTCGCATGTAACATGAAGGTTCACTTGTACTTATTAACTGATTTAATCGATATAACGGTGATGATGATGATGATGACCTGGAGGAGGAGCAGGAGGATGACACACACGAGGATGATATTGATGATGCAACTCCACTTGGTAACATTGGTGGTAATAATGATTTTCTATGCATAGATTGATTTAAATTTGATTGTGTATACAATTCTTGCTCACATTTAGAAGAGTTTTCATTATTGTCACCATTATTATTATTCTCATTACTTTTACTACTCTTCTCTGCATGATTATCTGATAATACGTTGGAAAATTTGGCGTATTCCATTTCGCTTGACTGATAGTGTTTCTTGTCAGTTAATGTTGATGGAGATGGTGTTCTGCTTATCTCTTTGACAAATGATTGTTGCGTGACGTTCGATAATGTTGTTGTTGTAGGTTGAGATGATGACGAGGATGACACTGGAATTGTTGGTGCATTATTCATTGAATGCACTGAAGTAATTGGTGTTGTTCCCGATGTCGTTGTAGCAACAGAGGTTGCAGCTGCAGTTGCAGTTGCAGTCCCAGTTGTAGTTCCTTTCGTTGTTAGAGGATTTACTCCAGTGAAATTAGTTAAATTGTTATAATCATTGAAAAAGGATTTATTTATTAGTGAACACTGATCATATTGATCGGTTGATTTACTCGAATGTTTCATTATTAACGCTTTATCATTAGAACAGTTAACTGACATAATTCCTGTTGATGAATCCTCCTGGTGGCGATTAGTTATTAATTCTGTTAATCGATCATTTGATAACAGTGGATTAGATAGCGGTTTTGTTAAATTACTTAAATCGTTTGAATATTTATTGTTCAATGTACAAGTGTTAGTGGATGGCACTGAAATTGAAGTGTACTGATTGTATTTCATTTTATTGTTATTATTAGTAGTAGTATTTATAGTAGCAATAATGGTATTGTTATTGTCAGTGTCCATATGAATAACATCTAAGTGTTGTGTAACTGAATGATTATAGTAATCACATACTGTTGGATTCATATTGCATGTATTAAGATTAGCACGTTGCATTAGTGTGCTTGACTGATAATTATTTTGTCCTCTATGCAGATCAGTACAATTTGTAGTTGAATCTAATGTAATTGGGCCGATAGTCCCAAGTTCCATTTCTCAAGTACTCACAACAATAGGGTTTATTTCAGTATGTTCGACTATAGAATATCATACATTAAATTAATTAGGTTGAATATAATTGTTCAGTATAACCAATATAACTTGTCGTCAGAATTTAATTGTTGAAAAATGGATCCTAGTGATGCCCGAATCTAGATCAATTATCGAATATTGTTACAGAATGTTATTTTCATATACACGTATACACGATATAAAGTCTTCTTAACCCACCCCTCCCCTCTCTTCACCGTTTTAATGCTGTTAAACAGAGAAAAAGGTTTTAACAAAAGGGGTGAATAAAGTAGCCAATGGGTTAAGCGGATAGGCTGTTTTCATCTATCTTTCTGATACTACTGGCTTATAATGAAAGGCGACAACCAATCAGAAACTCATAAATTTTTCTTGACCCGCCTATATTATTTATTTAACCAATCCGTATGTCGAATAAGCAATGCATGTGACTTGATATTTTGTCAGAATGAATAAGGGGTGAATTTTTTTTTTTTTAATTTCTAACCATAACTGTGGATTCAGGGAATTGGCCTGTTAAGTTGAATATAGGTCTGACCAAAATTTATTGAACGTATAATTAAATAAGGTTATTAGGCTTTGGATGGCAGAACATGAAGGTACAAATATTGAAGATCTAATATTTACAGTGTACAGAACATCACTTGAAATTGATTCAGATAACTGGGATTTATCGATCTTGAAAGGCAGATAATTAGTTATCGAAGTGAAAGGTGTTGCAATGCACATCACACTCCAGCGGATAAGCATCAAGTACAATCAGAGATTTATAATTTGTATAGTTGGCAGTGAGATGAGATTATTTAATAATCCATCCATTTGTATAATATTTCAACAAATGTATGTTACTTAAATCACTACCTGACTACTTATTTAATTATTCTGTATTTTAATTCTGAGAAGTCAGAGAACCTTTGGGGTCGAGCCTATGACCTTCAGGTTACAAGACTAGCTGGTTGGCCAGCCAACCACCAGGATGGAATCCCACAGACCATGAATTATAACTTTTGTCAACTCACGATTTTCAGCGTCACTGACAGCCGGTGTCGCCGGTGAATATCTGTTCTCGCACCGTGTGTGACGGAATAATTATTTGGAAAATCTCTCCCAAAAGATCTATTCATGATATTGCTACTCTTTTAAGTAGATCAACTAACTTTGCATTTATTATCCCTTCTTCTCCTAGACTTTCTGTCATAATTCTGATGACCACATAGAATCTGTTGATTTAATGGTTATTACTTGTCTGTGTTCTCTAATTTCAATGTTTCTCTTTATGTTGGTGTGATGACATGAGTTGTTTTACGGCTATGGTCTTATTTGAGTGAGTGAAGGTCATTCAGACCTTGAACTGTTGGTGAGAATTGTTTAGCGTGTGATTCTTGCTGATGGAGTTTTGATCCTACCTTGTTGGCGATATTTTACTTGATTCTCAGATATTCCTTACGGTCGATTTTGGTTAAATAATTCTATTGTACTGCTGTTTTTTGTATCTGAGGTCTAATTTGATCTATACAGCTGCCTAATGACATTTCTGAGGTGATTTTTTGTTTTTTGTTTCATATGTTATTACTGTTGAATAGTACCACAGATTTTATTGAAAGTAACTGTCTTTTCACTAGAGTTGGGACATTTTTGTACTGTGTGTAACTCAAAAAAGTTCTGGTTAGTTAGTCCGTTGAAATCGGTTTTCTGCATTCAGATTACATCACTTCGATTTTTGTCGTTACACCCTGTCAGGTTATGAGTGCCAAACTATGGCGAAACAGTTGTTTCGTACTTTCTGATTTTAGATGAATCTTCAGTTGACATCAGTCTGTGATCAAACGTAAAACCAATGAAATCCCCATATAGCAACGCTTGAAAATTATTCTGTATTTGTTCTTTCGTAGATGGTATAAATGTACATATTTTGTGTTTTTTTTATTTCTATGGACTTGTGCTTTTATAACTGCTGTATCAAATAGACATAATAATGAAATGATAATGGTCTCTGAGCTCCTTGGTTTAATTGCGGAGCTTTCATCGTCTTTCTGGACGACATCTTCAGCGCAGTATTTAGGATAAAGACGATGAAAGCTCCGCAATTAAACCAAGGAGCTCAGAGAACACTATCAATTCCAAATCATCCACCTGAGTTACAAATCTTTTCTATTATTTCAAGACACTAATATGCTCTCCCAATATTCAGGAAAACTAGAATACAAACAGTAAATGATTAGAATTTATCTTCTATATATATGAATATAGGACTCAAAACTCCAAGGTTTCACTGGCCATGCTTTTTCATGGGGTGGAGTTTCTGGTCTATCGCCAAACCCCCCTCTTTTCTGAGCTTTCTGTCGGCTAGTAAGCTTAGTGAGATCTAAGGATGCATCGGCAGGGAATTGAATCCAGATCAAGTGCGTGATTGGTGAGTATCCTACTCCTGAACTAACGACTCATATTGTATATTTGAGTGCATTATTTGTTATGACTGATAGCACTAATGTGGTGAATGATAGTGATAAACTTCTGTGCTAACTAATTATTTAAACGAACTACTTATATCCTGTTAAATTTTTTTTTAACCTTTTCATGGTTATCTCTACTCTGTTTGATACGCGGAGGTGTGTTTAGGCACTAAAAACTAGCACGGGAGAAATACAGACAAGAGATTTTAGTGGTTGACGTCTGCAAGTTAGGCTTCTCAGTGATTCACCAACTGACGCCTGTTATTGAAACGAAATTATATGAATAAAACTATTTCTGCATTATATCTGCAAACTAAAATAAAGATTTTTTTGAATCAGACTGACCTGTTTAAATACAAATTTTTGTTTAGAAGCTTATATTCCATTTTATTAACTTTCACTGTATCATTTTTGACAAAGCGCCGATTTTCAATGATTATAGTTATCTACTCCTGTATCTTTTTGGAAAATAACTGATACTTTCAAGAATTGATGCGTTGGGATTCTATTTATTTCAGGTTAGGCTACAGAACCATTGAAGACCACTTGGGAGTAATGGATAGCTGTTTCATCCTAGTTTTGGACTTACCAGAAGATTTCAGGTTCGAAACCTAGTGGATGCTTGCCGACGATGAGTCCCAGACTAGGATGAAACAGCTATCCATTACTCCCAAGTGGTCTTCAGCAGTTCTCTAACTGATATCAATCCATGATCTAACCTAAAACAAATAACTGATAGTCTGTCTTCTATTTGTGCGTATTTTTAGTTAATTTCAGCATACATTTTAGTCACGAACTGACATCACTTGGTGAAACACTGAAAACTGCATACTGCTAGACAACAAATTCTTCATAACTTGTGACTATGAAGAAGTATGCACCCCAAAATTCCGAATTTCCTGATCATCATTAATGACTAGACGATGAAGCTGTTGAAATTCTAATACGAATTCGTGGTCGGCAGGGTGAACCACATCGGATGTGGGGCAGGCACGCATCGATGACATTGTTTTGCGGTCGTATATTGACAAAACTTATGACTAGCCATCAGGTTGGTGCCGTAACGTAAAAGTTTTCATCATGAAAATAGCTAATAAGCAATTCTAAAGAGTTCCAAGCTAGGCATGAATAGCTCGTCAGAACTCTGGGGTTTTTAAGGATTCTATAAATGACATTCGTTCACGACACTGAAATTGATATTTAAAGAAAAATAAAGTAAATTAGCAACTCTTCTAAAACCATCTAAATGACTAACTGTTGTGAAGCTATCAAGAAATTAATCCTGAGATATATACTCTCAGCATATTTAATTCTAGCTAGCTGAATAAAAGCAAATATGCCTTGGTTTAGTGAACTCATTGCAAACTAATAGATTAACGCAACACAAAAATACTGTTCTATTCATCAAATGAAATGAAAACTAAAAGAATTTGGTTAATGACATGAATGTCAAGTATAAGTCAATTACAGTAGCACCATTTTTTGTACTAAAATAATTATCAAACTAGTGATTTTAGCATAACCACCAACCGATAACATCAGCGAGTATTTATCTTCACTTCCAACCCTATGGATCTCATTGATTAGGACTCCTTATTAGAACTCAGTCTAGGGAAATTCATCCTGTAGCCAATCACTAGTGAGTATCAGACTAATTTTGAAGAGTTAGTTTTCAGGGATTTGATTGGTTTTTAGGTTTGATCACAGATTGATACCAGTTAAAAGACTATTGAAAACTACCATGAAGCACTGGACATTTGTTTTTTCCTGGTTGGGTACTCATCGAAAATACGCTTACATTGGGGTTCGAACTCAGGAACTTCCGGTAAAATTATGAGTGATGGAGGATTTAATCATGAGCTGACAACAGTTAGAGAACCACTGGAAAACCTAGGAGTACTGGACAGCTGTTTCGTCCTAGTTTGGAACTCTTCATCAGTACGCACCCACCGGGATTCGAACCCAGGACCTTCTGGTTACAAGGCGAGCTCGTAGACCATTGAGCCACTGGGACCCGATCCAATGGTTCTTGAATTCTAACTTCTGCCAATTCCCGACATAGCGCGACCACTTCGCAATGTCTTCTTCGATGAGTTACTGCCCACCCTACCAGTAGGGTACAGTAGGTTGAAGATGAGGCAGTAACTCATCGAAGAAGACATTGCGAAGTGGTCGCGCTATGACACGAATTGCCAGAAGTTAGGATTCAAGGACCATTGGGTCGGGTCCGAATGGCTCAATAGTCTACGAGCTCTTCTTGTAACCAGAAGGTCCTGGGTACTGATGAAGAATCCCAAACTAGGAGGAAACAGCTGTCCAGTACTCCTAGGTTTTCCAGTGGTTCTCTAACTGATGTCAGCCCATGATTAAATCCTCCATGCAATCAAACAAAATCCCTACAAAACCAATACTTGAAAATTATGAGTGGTTAGAAGTTAGAATTCATGTCTAGCGTCCTGGTGACTGAGTGGTTTGTGAACTTCCTCTGTAAGGTCCTGGGTTTGTAGCCCATTGGATGCATACTGATGATGAGTCCTAAAATAGGAGGAAACAACTGTCCAGTGCTCCTGAGTGGTTTTCAGTGGTTCTCTAACTGATATCACCCTGTGATCAAACATGAAACCAATCAAATTCCTACAAAGTAACTCTTGGAAATTATATAACTGCCATGAGGCACTCTATAGATCTCGATGAAGCAGTTAAGTAAT